CTCCACTCCACTCACCACAGACTTACCAGCTAGAGGCAGCTGTGTCCAGCATGATGAGGACTGCTGCCTGTTTAGTCTATGGCCGAATCTCTGAATCAGCACTAAATCTTCAGATCCGAATTGGCCAAATTGAAGGTGGACAGCGATTCGAATCAATGTCCCTCTGAATTGGCCAAATCTGAATCCGAAGTGAATACTTGTCGCTTCACACAGGCCTACTGTGTGGCCGGTCAAGAAAGATACTCCTTGAAAATTAGCTCTCAAGTCCTTTTCCAGCAATGCAGAAACACTAAGTAAAGGCTGTTATTAAATTAAGCTTATACTTAAAAGCCCTGGTTCTGACTGCACTTACATTTATATCAAATAGCACCAGCTGCATTTAATGTAGTTGTACCAGTGTAAAACCAGTGAGAGATCACAATTAGGTCTTAAGAATTCATAGTTCTTATCACTCAGGTCTTTCCTATTTTCTCAAAACATAAATGCAAATTTAGAGCACAGCCCCCTTTTAAATTGTAATGTCCATAATTAACCGGTATAATGCCCAGTAAAAAAATTATCAGATGGAAAGTAAAATAACAGAAAAATAGCAGCCTTCAACTACCTGAAGGGGGAGATCGAAAGAGGATGGAGCTAGATTGTTCTCAGTGGTGGCAGATGACAGAACAAGGAGCAAGTCTCAAGTTGCAGCAAGAGAAGTTTAGGTTAGACATTAGGAAGACTTTTCTCACTAGGAGGGTAGTAAAACACTGGAACAGGTTACCCAGAGACATGGTGGAAGCTCCATCCTTGGAGGTTTTTAAGTCCTGGCTCGCCAAAGCTTTGGGTGGGATGATCTGGTTGGGGATGGTCCAGCTTTGAACAGGGGCTGGACTAGACCTCCTGAGGCCCCTTCCAACCCTAACTACCAAAGATTCTATGAATAGGAAGGGACCTCTAAAGCACAACCCCCTGCTAAAGGCAGATCATGATCATCTCTGTCTTCCCAAGCAGCTTCCCAAGAAACCACAGAAATGCCATACTGCTAGTTTCTTTATTCTTAATCTTCCTTCCCAACATGAAAATATGGCCACTTGAAATAATAGCTCCCACCTTCCAAACCTCAATTCTAAGTATTTTTATAGCTCACATTTTAAGCTTACTGTAGATGAGATATCCACAGGGCAACTCCAGAAACCTTGACACCTGATCATCCCTGCAGGTGGGCTGGATGGAAACCAGGTGGAATCCCAGGCTAGGAACAAGGAAGGATGGAGTACTATTCACTCAACCTTCCTATGGAGTCCATGGAAGTTCCAATGCAGAGATCCAGGTCTGAAAATGGGGTGGGGGGGGAGCAGGAAAAGAATAAGAAAGGGCAATGAGCATTCTTTATTTATTGCTCACTAGGGTTATGCTTCTATGGAGACAGCAGGGGGTCAATTCTGCCTTCCAGCTGCTTCCCAGACTCACTTGGATCTGGGAACTGGTAGGGCTGAAAGAGTAAACCTCCTTCTCATTCCACATAGAAGCCATCAGGAAAAAGTTAATCAAGGGAAACCTCAGAGCTTCCAATTTGTCATCTAGGTTTGTAACAGCCAGTGAAGTATTTATCTGAGATGCATCAACCTGTTGGCAGGCACTGAGACTGCTGAGAAAAGGTGAAGTGGATTTAGTTAACTAGCTGAAACATGTGACTTGTTTCTCCTAGAAACAAGGGGAGGAGAGTAGCCTCTGGGGAAAGTTGAATGCTGAACAGTCCTGGGTAAAGCTGGCTAAAACTCAGAATTTCTGAAATGGCAGGAAATTCTGACATTTAGACATTTTCCATAAAACAAACTCTGACAAAAAATTGTATGGGCAACACTGACACACAGTGTTCCCAAAAGGAGACCTGCACTGCAGTGGTCCCAACAGGAAACCTATACAATTCTTAGCCATTTCATCTAAAGCTACTAGGAATTCAAAGGTCCGTGTCTTTGAGAAAGACTGTCATGTAGACTGCTACAGGGCTGGGGGTGGCAACTGGCAAGGAAATCAGGAAGCTCCAAGATCCATATCCTCAGGGCAGTCCACATGGCACAGCTGCTCTGGAACCACCTGACCCAGGAAGCCTTGAGAGTCCCCAGTTCCAGGCTCCCAGCTTTGTCCTGGGACTCTAGCCCTAGCAGAGGTTCTCAGGGCTTCCAGGCTTGTTTGCAGAGATGAGAGATGAACCCTAGTTACAGGTCCTGCAAGCTTCCTGGTCCTTCTTTCAAGGCAGTCTCAAGTCATGGACCCTGAAAACCATGGGGCTCTCAGCTGCTTTGCCTAGTGAGCTGGCAGGAAATCAAGCAAGCTTCCATCAGCCTGCCTGAGATTTGGTGAACCAAATGTGTTTCCACAAAACATTTTAAGTTTGACCGGCTTGCTCCACTCCTCACACAGGAACCCCCAAAATAGATAAGCTTAGCACATGTCCATAGGACTGAGAGTGATTTCCACCCACAATTTTACATACTTTTTTTTCCAACTCCTCTGTCAATGTTTGTAAGCTACAATGCAATATGATAAAAAGATACTTGAATCCTTATCATGATATTCTCTACCTGGCCATATAAATTATAAGTGAACTTTGGAGCTTCTTGATTCCCTTGCTTGTTGGCACTCCCAGCTCTAAGGCAGTCTGCATGGCAGTTAACTTGTAGTATGTATATACATTTAATTATATGCTTAAAGACAGCCTGACGAATTGAGAGTTTTACCTGAATAAAGACAGCAGAATCAAGTCCTAAATACTTTTCCTTTAGTTACACACTAGTAGTATCATGTCAAAAGCTCATTTACCACTTTCAACTGGCTAAGTTCCAGAACAAATAGTGTAAGGTAGGTCTTTCTTACTTTACATAAAAATAGTGCACTTAGATTTGCCTTCCATGTTTCACTGCGTACAGATATATTAGATGTTAGCTGTCCCCTTTTCCAGAAACTCTTGAACTTTTTTCCTGTCCAATATGTAGTGGCAATATGAGAAAATGATATCCTATTCACAAGAAGTAAGCGTTTACTCAGTTTTGTATCTCAATATTAACATAATATTTAAATCTCCCTTGTAGTCTTCTTCCCCTGTAGTATAAAATAACTCGTTCCCACTGTTTCATAGTAAACCTAGTTTCTGTTTACTTGGCATCCTGAGATAACTTAATCCTTGTTGCTTCAGTGTTTCGCAAACTCCTGATACCTGGGGCACAATTTTTCCTGGATTAGAATTGGTACCATACTTCACTCTTGCACCCAAAAAGGGAACAGGGAAAAGTGGCAGCAGTGGTTTGAACACATTTTGCGAGTCATCCAATCTAGGTGTAGCTCCCCAGCAACTGGAAGTTGTACAAATGCTGCAGCCAGGGAGCGGGAGACTGGGAGAAGTGGCAGGCAAGCACAGGGAAAAGCCCTTCTTCGGAGTTGGTGTCAGGCTGAACCAGGCTGGCAGTCTCTCCAACAGGTCACATGGAGCCACTCACTGCATGCCCTGGAACCAAGGTGGGGGTTGGAAACAAAGCCTGTGCTGCCCTGAGAAGCAATAGATGCAGGCAAAGCTGGGGTGGGGAGGGCGGGGAAAGGGAGGCTTGTTGGCAAGGGCTCCCTGGAGCTCAGCACAACATAGCAGGGGTGGAGCCAGGTGAGAGGGCTCCTAGCTGCCCATAATCAGCTGAACCTGGAAAAGAAAGGGCGTGTCCCACACCAAGAAGAGGACCACGGCACATATGCACAGCAAAGCATAGCAGAGTGTGGAGCTGAGGGCTCAGGTGCATGGTATGTCGCTGGGGTGCAGGCAGGGTGTGGCAGCAAAAGTTTGCAGACATCCAGTCCAGATGCCACCACTGCTGCTCACAGTTCCACTTGTGTGCAGCTTCCAGCCACTGGAGAGCTGTGCTGGGGCCACATATCTGCAAACTACTGCCGCCATGACCTGCCTGCATCCTGGGGACATGGCCACACAACACCCTGCTCTGCATACCATACCTCCAGCTTAAAATACAAGAAAGAAAAGCATTTCTTGCAGCACACTGGGACCACTATTGTAGCTCAGGAATTCTCACACTGTAACATAGGGTAATTAGATCAGAACGTTCTTAAAAACCAAGTTGTACTATTTGCTGCTGCTTAAATTTGCACTGACTGACCTGTTTTTTGCAAAACCATGCTTTCATCTGTAATTGCTGTCTTTGTCTGAAGCTTTTCTATGCCCAGACTAGATGGCTTTTCCAACATTTCAAAGTCATTAGAAGCACTAAAAAATCCTGAATGGTTAGGTTAGGTTTCTGTGACTGTATGGAGGATCTTAGTAAATGCTGCAAATACTGTTACTGTTCATGGATATGTAAATTAGAGTTAATGGTAACTTGTTCCTACTACTACTTCAGAGGCCAAACCGCAGTTATGGTAATACTGCCTTAGAATGGTCTGAATAATACTTTTTGTAATTGCTTTTTGGAAATGTAGGGACTAAGAATGAGAAAAAATGCAATGCACTGAAATGATACATACTCTATTTTAAAAAGGCATGTCAAGTTAAAATTCATGTCTCTTCAAAAACTTTTGCATTTCTCATTTTTACACACAAGACTAAGGATTACCATAAGTGAAAGATCAGGAAAAACAAAACCTACTTATCCGGTTTGTAATCAGTTTTATCATGTCCCTGTTGACCAGTCTACCCTGCTCTATATGCAAGTCTTAACACACAGCAACAGGGGGAAGAAAGACATTTAATAGAAGTAGGAAAGCAAGAGTTTAACACATACATCTCAACTGGTCTGACAGCAGGTATAAGTAGAAAACTACTTTTGGCATAGTTCTTGAAAACAGCGAGGCTTTAAAACCACGGGTGGGCAAAATATGACCTACAGGCTGGATCCGGCCCGCCAGGCAAGTTCATCTGGCCCTTGGGTGCCCACCAACTAGTTATATCCTGGCCCAGCCCATGAGCCTCGCCCCCAACCTTGTGCACAGAAGGGCCAGGCCCAGCCAAGCCATCATGCAGCTTCTAGGTGGGGCTGCTGCTGTCACTACTGCAACCGATGGGGGACCTGCTTGACTCCCCCAGAATCCAACAGCTCATCCTCGTCTCCCTGCTGCAGTGCTTGCTCTGGGCAGTGTGTATAGGGAAGCAGTGGGGGCAAGGGGAGGGGAGCTGCAGCTGAGCAGGAGTGCAACGTGTGGGGCTGGGGGGAATGCAGAGCCTGTGCCCAGGAGGGCACCAGGAACATGGACGTCGGGTGGGCAGGGGTGTGAGGAAGGATGGGGGGGATATGGGGACCCCCCCCACACACACACACACTCCCTCCAATGCTGTACAGAGCCTCTGGTGGCAGGCGGAGGACGCTCAGGACACTCATGGCCCACGTGGGCACTGACGCCCGACAGCACACGGTGGCAGCAAGTGCAGCCAGGCCAGCCCGCTTCTATCACCCTGTCGCTCACATGCAGTTCCTGGCACTTGTGTGCCACCAGGAGAAGCCCTGCATAATGGAGCTGTATGCCCTCCCTGCTGTGCAGGTCCTGGGACTCTGCCAGGAAGCAGAGGGCTCCCCTCCACTTATGGCGGAGTCCTAGGAACTGCATGGCAAAGAGTAGCAAAGGCAGCTGGCTCCATCGTGGGGCTTCCCCTGCTGGCACAGAAGTGCCAGGAGCTGCATGTGCACCATGGGGAGCCCTGTGTGACAGAGGCGGGCCAGCCTGGCTGTGTTTGTTGCTGCCATGCACGGTGCTGGCTGAAGCCATGTGCTGCTGGGTGGCAGCACCTGCTCAGGCCCTGAGCACCCCGAGTGCCCAACGCCTGCTGTTGCTGCCACTGGTGGGGACTGTGCACAATGCAGGGGGAGTGTGTGGGAGGACCCCCGTATCCCCCCCTCCCTCACAACCCCACAAACCCCACAACCCCCCACATATACCCCCAACATACCCTATGTCCCCCAAACACAGCCACCCCCCCACAACAGCCCCCACACCCCTCTATACACGCCACCCAAGCATACCTCACACACAATATACAAGAGTAATATTTAATTTGAGTTATTATGCAATCACCTCTATATACACTATGCAAGCACAAATCACAACAAAAATATTTTTGTAGTAAAAGTAAAATATGTTATAGCATGTGTTTGAATTTTAGTACATGGTTTGGTTTTTTTCTAGTTCCAAGATGGCAACCCCCTCTGCCCCCCCCCCCCAAAAGGAGTACTTCCAGGGGCAAGGGGAGCAACTTCCGGCGGCAAAGGTCAGAGGTTAGGGGGTGGGGCTTCTGGCCCCAAGATAGCACCTAAGGGGCAGGGCACCTGTCAAGGGGTTAA